CGGGGAGCCGGGCGAGGTGGACAAGTTCAAGGTGAAGTTCCTGACCTCCTGGAACAACGTCAAGTACGGTTGGACAGTCAAAAGCCGGACCAGCTTCAGCAAGATTTCCAGCGTCCACCTCTGTGGCCGCTGAAAGGGCAAGATCTCAAACCTGCGGACACGCGGCCCCCGCCCTTCCCCACATTCTCAGTGAAGGGGCGGGGACTGCGCCCTCCATCTTACCCTGGGTCCTCCATTTTTGGGCAGGGCCAAGTGCTCAGCAAAGGCTTCTTCCCGGAAGAAGCCTCTGCTAGCCACACCCAGGATTTCTCTGGACTAACCAATGATAATCAAGGGAAGTGCATGCCATCACTATGACCACATCCTGTGTAATGAGACACCGACTTGCGCCTGGCCAATCAGCGGGGCCCACAGTCCCCTCTCCCGCCCTTACTCCACCCCTCTATAAAACTCCTGGTCCCATCAGGCTTCTCCCTCTCTGCCACTTGCTGCTGCGTCAGTAAGGAGGGTAGGGGAGCCAAGCCCGGGTTTGAAATAAGGGACTCTTTGCTTTTGCATCGGACTGGCTGGCTCCCTGGTGGGCTCTTGGGAATCTTGAAATCTGGGCATAACACTTTCAAGTCACAGAAAAGCCTGGGAATTTTTATGTATTTCTCTTGTGAATTGATTATTCCCATGCCAGACAATCATGATCAAATTCTTACTATTTAATTTCCCCTTTTACATACTTCCTGTATATAAACATAACCCACCTTTACTATATATTATTCCATACAGGCTCTAAAATAACTAAGTTACAATTTTGATTTTAGAGACACATCCTGCTCACTTAGATGAGTCTTGGGTATTTGTCTTATTTCAGCACTCTATGTGTGTGCCTTTAGTGGGTGATTCCTGAAGATGGCTACTTCACCCAAGTTAGGGAAATACTAATAATTCAGTAAATGGCATTAGAGCAATTGATCATTTGTTTGGTAAAAATAAAGTTAGATTCTCTACCTAACACTGTTCAAAAAATAAATGCTGGAAAGATTAAAGACCCAACCATAAACTACAAAATCCTAAATATATCAGAAAAAAAATATAGGAGACTATGTTTATGACATTGAGAAACTCGAAGTCATTATAAACCAGACCCTAAATGCAAAAGACATAAAGGGATTCGATAAGTTTGACTCCGTTGCGACTGATATATTTGAAGAGCATGTAACACTTCTCTACTCCAAAAGGCATCATAAGCTAAGTTACAAGATTGATAAATTTCAACAACACGAACAACATGTTTAAGCAAAGTTAAAAGACAAGTGACAAATTAGGAGATAATATTTGCCACATGTACCATACAGAAAGGACTAGTATTTAGATCTATAGAGCACTCTTACAAAAAAGAAAAAAGAAAAAAATACTCAAACCAATGGAAATATGGAAAAATAATAGGATAAGTTATTTATAGGAAAATAAATGCAATTGGCCAATGAACATATGATAGCTGATCCTCACCAATTATCAAGAAAAATTGATTGATTATATATATTTTTAAATGCTTATTTATTGATTTTTAGAGAGAGAGAGAAAGGTGAGGAGAGAGAACATTGATTTGTTGTTCCACTTACTTATGCATTCATTGATTCATTCTTGTATGCGCCCTGACTGGGGATCAAACCTGAAACCATAGAGTAGGTAGACAAGACTCTAACCAACTGAGCTACCCAGTCAGGGAAAAATTGATTATATTTAGAACACTGAGGTAATTTTCAACCATTACATTGGCAAAAATGAAACACATTAATAAAATATTGACATGGGTGTGGGAAAGCATGCAGACACTGCTAATGGGAATATTAAATTGATATAGCCATGTTGAAGGGCAATTTAGCAATATTGAGTAAAATAAAAGTACAAGTAGATTATGATCCAGCAATTCCAGATATCAGTGTCTACTTTTGCAAAACACTGACATTTTGCACAGGAAAACATGTACAAGCATGTCCATTGCAGAGTTCCTCATAAGGAGAAACTGGAAAAACTGAACCACGAATAGATGAATGACTAAGAAAGGGGACATTCAAACTATGTATGCAGTGGTATGAGGCAGCTAAAAGAATGTGGTAGGTCTGTGTCAAACTGGATAGCTCTTCACAGCATCCAGCTGGGCAAAAAAGCAAGTTATAGATATATTTTTCTATGTAAAAAGAAAATAAAGGGCACTACAGAATGAAATTACATATTTCCTAAAGGACATGTGTAAATATAGGTAAATGTTGAAAGAAGCACTGAGAGGATGCTAACCTAATTGATAACCCAGATTTCCTCTGGGAGAATGGGGTGGGGCTTGAAGGGGATTTGTCCTTAGCTATAATGTGTGGGGACTATAAAATATGAATACTTTTCTTCCCACCTTTTAGTTCTTCTGGCTGGGCCAATACAAAATCAACGAGACACATTAACAGGAGAAAATATAGTATGCATGGGGAATTCACATAAGCACGGAAATGCCAAAGACAGTGAGGCAAAGCTAGTGGACAAAAGGGAAAGAGGTGTCAGAGTGAGAATGGGCAATTTACAGGGAGCTGAGGAAGAACAGAACACACATGGCAGAAAAGTTCCTCCCAGGCAACTCAGAAACATGGAACACAGGGTTATCTGAGGCCCCTGTGTGAAGCCCTCTACCTACCGTACTTAATTCAAATTAGGCTGAGGGGACAGCCGAAGGTCTCCTTCCTGAAGCAGGTTGCTCTGTCTGAATCTGTTAGCCAGGAAAGAGGGGAAGGGTTAAAGGTTCTTTCTCAGTCTTGTTTCTTAATAACTAGCTTAAAATCAATATCCCAAAAAGCAGCACCAGGATGGCAAAACTTTGGTCCCCTTTAAATGTAATTCTCTTTTTTCACAAGGAGAATTTATGTATTACTTATTTAAAACTAGAAGCCCGGCACATGAAATTCGAGTTCGGGTACAGTTCCTAGGCCTGGCCTGCGATCAGGGCCATCTTCCCCGGCTGCCGGCAGCTGGCCCTGTCCCTCACCGCCACCCACCCCTGGTTCCCCGTTCACCATCAGGCAATCAGAGCCTGCTGGCCAGGGGGAGGGACAAAGAGGTCAGCTGTTCCCGCCCGCTCTCCAGCCCCACCCCCACCACGGGTCTCCCTCTGTGTGTGGGGTGACCCGCGGGGGCCTTGGCCTGGTGCCGCCCACGTCCCTTGCCATCCACCCCGGTTCCCTGTTTGCCATTGGGCGATGGGAGCCTGTCGTCCAGGGGAAGGGACCAAGAGGTGGTCAGTGCGCCTCATAGTGACTGTTTGAATGGTCGTTCTGGTCATTCTGCTGTTAGGGTCAATTTGCATATTACCCTTTTGTTATATAGGATTTATTTGTTTAATTAAGTCAATTTTCTGGTTAATAACTGGTATAAATAAAATATGTATACTCCCTTTAAACATATAAAGATGCTGACTAAAATGTCAAATAAAATTTAAATAGTATAAACTTATAAATATTAATTTAAATATATACACATATACATGTATAGCATAACTTGAAATAGATTTTTTCATTTTTATTTATTTTTTATTTTTTACTTATTTTTTTTGTTCTTGTTAATCCTCAACCGAGGATATTTTTTCATTGATTTTTAGGGAGAGTGGAAGAGAGAGGGAAAGACAGAGAGAAACATTGATGTGAGAGAAAAACATTGATTGGTTGCCGCCTGCTGAGCGCTGACCAGGGCCCAGGCTGAAGAGGAGCCTGCAACCGAGGTATGTGCCCCGACCACAACTGATCCTGGACTCCTGGTTCGTAGGTTGATCAATGAATGTTCAACCACTGAGACACACCGGCCAGATTAGATGTTTTCTTTTTAAAAAAAACATTTTTTTAATTTGAGAGAGAGAGGAAGGGAGAGAGAGAAGCATCAATGTGAGAAAAGAAACATTGATAAGCTACCTCCTGCACACCCCGTACTGGGGATCAAGCCCATAACCTGGGCATGTGCTCTGACCAGAAATCGAACCTGAGACCTTCTAGTGCATGGGATGACACCTGACCAACGGAGTCACACCAACCAGGGCTAGAGATTTTCTTTTGTAGTAGAAATAAAAAGGGAATAGGATTAGACTTCATTAGTAGGGACTGGACATTCACTTGTGGGCTGCAGCATCAGAAGCCAACAGAGTGTGGATTAACCAGGTGGACAAGGACATCAGGCTGGAAAAGTGGAGGAGAGCAGAATTGACAAAGAACAGCACATGGCTAAGAGCAACTCCCAACCCCAAATTCTAGAATAGCAACTTAGAAAAGCAGGGGATGGGAGAAACATAAAACCAAAGACTGAACATTTCTTCCTATCTATCATCTATCTATCTATCTATCTATCTATCTATCTATCTATCTATCTATCTATCTATTAAAAACCAGAACATTTATTGCACAGCTAATTATTAAAATCCTTAAGATAAACTGTTAAATATCACAAGCATCTATGAATATTCCTATTTAAAAGAGACTGGACATTGTCTAAATGGACCATTTAAATCAGGGGTCCTCAAACTACGGCCCGCGGGCCACATGCGGCCCGCCGGGTATTTTTGCCGTGGCTGCCTGTCCTGCTTAGCAGCCGACTCGTCCAGGGCCCGCAGTGCGCATGTGTGGAATGTCTGAGGGACAGTGAACTGGCCCCCTGTTTAAAAAGTTTGAGGACCTCTGAAAATGATCAGATCCAACCAGATTTAAATAATTAGTTTTCCTATTAAGTTCCAGGTTCAGCCTCAGGATTAATTGTAGGCAAAATTAAAGTGTTATATTTTTATTTGCCTGAGTTGTAATGAGTTGAATGTGCAACCCCACGTAGTTTTCAGAGGCTTAGAGCAGGGTGCCAGCAGGGTGAGCGGGAACCACAGTCTACTACCAGGGCTAAGTACAGATGGCGAAACCCTGGGCTGAGATGAGTTTGTTAGTAAGGAACGTGGTTCTGTTGCAATCCAGATGCCAGAGTGCCTAGAACCAGGAACTAAGGCAGACTTGAGTGATAACTTTTGAGCTAGGTTTGACCCTTCACCCTGTGCCTGTGGGTTGGCACTCAAGAATGTGACAAGGGTGGTCTCATTGTCTTTGTTTGGGGGAAGGCTGCACTTTCATACCAAAGCTGACAGTTAGGTCCCCTTACCTGTGGGTCTAAGGTGAGGTTTGCTTCTAGAGAGGGAGTTACACAACCTTCTGCCTCCCTGCATATATTAGTGTAGTTA